ATGCCTAATGAAGTCTATATACTACAATGCCGTAACAGGTCGAGGATTTGGTAACGCCACACATTTATTTAATTACTGGGTTTCCTGTACATTGAAGAAACATTCTGCAACAAAATATTCTCTCTAATGAATTTACTAATGGGAAAAAATCCTCTATTAGTTTATTGATACCATTTATCAACTGAAATGAAATAACATTGGAATGTTCTCGGTCTCATTTAGTCTTTCCCTTCTTAGTAAATGTATGATTAAATCTATTTTATCATCATGTTGGAAGTATGTTTAGATATGTTATTTTTCCCAGCAAATGAACGATGAATGGGTTTATTGTAGTGACAGTATAATTTACCTTGATTAATAGGAAAATAGACTGATCCTAAATATTTGCCCGGACCACTCAAAACTCTACGTCGTGTTTGGCTCTGTTAATTTGTGGTCTGTGAAATGTGCTTGTTTTTTTTCTCACTATGTATTTTCGGTTCATTAGTATGCTACACTTTTCATTATGGAATACATTAATCCTCCCGGACACATAATATAAGTCAGAGGAAAACACTAAAGACACAGTATTGCAAATTCTCTGCAGGTTTTTAATGCAGGCTAGGCAAGTCTGGGCAAGGTGCCTTATTCATTTGTCTGCAGCATGGCTAACTGTACTTTCATTATCTAAAACACAGGTTCTATGTGCTATTGTCTAAGATTTACTTACTTTTAACCCTCTGGACACCAGGGGGCAGTGCTCGATCCTCACATACAGGCACAGGAAGTTTAAAAACGTCACTTTAAAAAGATATTAATCAATTCATTGTTGTTAACATAATTGGGCCATTTTATTCTATTGAGGCAAGGACATTGCTAGGTGGCAAACATGCCTGGGACTTCAGCCTAAGGGAAAATTGTGTGACCTGTCTAATAAATTGACTTAATCCCCTCCCAAGACCAGACCCTGTACCAGCAGTAGGCAAGCTTCGGCACTCCAGATGTTATGGACTACATCTCTCCTAATGCTTTGCCAGCATTATGGCTATAAGAGCATTATGGGAGATGTAGTCCACAAGCGTTGCATACCCCTGCCCTGCCCAATGTCATGCTCTATGCCCGCGTTTCCCAATTGGTGTTCTGCGGAACCCTGTGGTTCCGCCAAAAGTTTAAAAAACAAAAAAGGCGCGGGCGGCGAGGGAGTGGTAAGCAGTGATCTCCCTGCTCAGCTCCCTGGCGCACACAGCAGTGATGCTGGAGCCCGAATATGACGTCACAGAGAGAACTGATCAGGGAGATCACTGCTCCCTTGCCGCCCACACGCCAGCCGCTCAGCAGCACCACTGGACCCCAGGGACTCCATGCCAGCACTCCTAAAGGTAAGGGGGCTGAGTGAAGTAAAATGTAAAAAAAAATAAAAAATTGTATGTGTGTCTGTTAGGGAGTTTGTATGTGTTTGTGTGTCTGTCAAAGAGTATATGTATGTTTGTCAGTGAGAGTGGATGTGTGCTTGTCAGTGAGTGTGTGAGAGTGTATGTGTTTGTCAGTGAGAATGTAGCTGTTCTTGTCAGTGAGAATGTGTATGTGTGTTTGTCAGTGAGAGTGTATGTGTGTCTGTCAAAGAGTATGTGTGTTTGTTAGTGAGAGTGTATGTGTGACTGTCAAAGAGTATGTGTGTCTGAGTGTGTCAGTGTGTATATCTGTGTGTCATGGTTTGTGTATGTGTTACTGTGTGTATCTAAGTGTGTGTGTGTGTGTGCCAGTGTGTATCAGTGTGTTTGTATGAGCCTGTGTGTGTGTGTATCTGAGTGTGTCAGTGTGTGTATGTGCCAGTGTGTATCTGTGGGTGCAAGTGCGTGTATATGTTACTGTCTGTATCTGAGTGTGTGTGTGTATTTTTGAGTCAATATGTGTGTGTCAGTGTGTGAATGAGTGTGTCAAGGTGTGTGTCAGTGTGTATCTGTGTGCCACTATGTGCCAGTGTGTGTGTGTGTGTATCTGTGTGTCAGATACACACTGACACAGAGATACACATACTGGCACATACAAACACAGATATACACACCTTGACACACACTGGCACATACAAACACAGATACACACACTTTGAAACATAGGTACACACACCTTGACACACAGATACACACACACACAGATGCACACTGTGTGTTAAGGTGTGTGTATCTGTGTCAGTGTGTGTGTGTATCTGTGGGTCACACCGGCACATACAAACACAGATACACACACCTTGATACACAGACACATACAAACACAGATACACACACTTTGACACACAGATACACACAACTTGGCACACAGATAGCTACATACATACATACATACACACACATACAGATACACACTGTGTGTCAAGGTGTGTGTATCTGTGTGCCACTATGTACCAGTCAGTGGCGGATCCAGAGCCTGATCTCGGGAGGGGCACTTGTAGATTATTTAAAGAAATAATCCAGACACAATAACTACTACAGCTCAGTGTAGTGGTTATGGTGTCAATAGTGCAGGGACCCCCTCCTAGTAAGTAGTCAAACCGTTTAAGAACAGTTTGACAACTTACCTGAGGTCTGCTGGGAAATGGGGCGGTAGTAGGGCATAGGAGCAGTGGTGTGTGTGTGGTGCAATGTGTAAGGGGTGCAGTGTGTGTGTGAGGGGGACAGTGTGTGAGCAGTGTGTGTGTGTGTGTGTGAAGGTTGTAGTGTGTGAGTAGGGGGGGCAGTGTATGTCAGGGATGCAGTGTATGTGTGGGACAGTATGTGTGTGTAACAGTTGCAGTGTGTGTGTGAATGTGGGCAATGTGTGTGTATGGGGCGGCAGTGTATGGGGGCAGTGTGTGTGTATGCGGGGCAGTATGTGTGTATGAGGGCAGTATGTGTATGGGGGGGCAGTATGTGTGTATGGGGGGGCACCATGGGGGGCAGTATGTGTGTATGGGGGGGCAGCATGGGGGCAGTATGTGTGTATGGGGGGCAGCATGGGGCAGTATGTGTGTATGGGGGGCAGGGGGCAGTATGTGTGTATGGGGGGAAGCATGGGGGCAATGTATATGTGTGTGTGTTAAGGGTAGGGGGGGCTTTTTTTTATAATATATATTTTTAAATATTTAATTTTTAAAAAAATATATATCCTATGTCCCCCCTCCCTTCTTACCTTTATGGAGGAGGAGGGGGGACATATTTTCATCCCTGGTGGTCCCAGTGGTGATTCCCTGGTGGTCCCAGTGGTTACAGTGAACTCTAGCCCGCGCTCCCGGGCTAGAGTTCACTCTCGCGAGATTTGGAGCGTTGGCAACGCTCCAAATCTCGCGAGAGGAGGACCCGGAGGAGCTGCAGACTGAGCTCCCGGGTCCTCCCTCTCCCTCCCCTGCCGGCTGTCAGCACAGTGCCTGCGGACCGGGGAGGGAGATCTCCGATCTCCCCTCCGGTCCGCAGGCACATTGCAGGGCTAGCACCTGCATGTGCTGCTGGCAGGGGAGGGAGACCGGCGGATTTCTCGGGGGGGGCAATTGCCCCGTTGCCCCCCCCCTGGATCCGCCAGTGGTCTAGTATATAGATTGTACATTTTGCCAATACATTTTTAACATGCTTGAGAACATATGCTGAACTAAAGGTTATAACAATAACAATTTGTGCCTAGTCACCTGGGAGGTTGATCGTGAGCATGTATATCAAATATATAAAACTGGTGATATAGGCTGCTTAGAAATAATAAACAGGCCAGGCTGCCCGTTTAGTGTAGAATGCAGTGTACTAGATCCAGCATGTTGTCAAACATGGCAAGAGCGCTGTTAGTGCACCTCTGTGTGCAGTGTCAGTGTGGAAGATATGCTGCTGTGTTGTTATGCAAAGCATGGAGATTTGCAGCAGAGACAGCAGTGAACACATTACCTTCTATGCAGGACATGCCAAATCATAAAATAATCTAAGATAACAATATAAATGTTAAGCATCAACATGAGCCTGACAGGTAGGAAAAGTCAGAGGAGAGACACAGAGGGAAAGCATTGCATTTGTGGTAAAGCACTGCTGTGGTGAGGCAAAGCAATGCGGTAGGTTTACAGGCAATATATTTTAGACATGCAAATTACTGACTGGAATGAGCGAGTAGGTAAGTCAGTTCGCAGGTAGCCATTAGTATTAGCTCCTAATAAATCATGCTAGGCTGTATATGCATAAAACAGTGCTAGCTGGGCTTAGATTTAGATAGGGTTAGCTAGCAACACTTTGCGGTTTGGGTAAATACATGCAGGCAATAAAGTTAAAGGTTTAGCAAGGGGTGACATGGTATTAGCTCAAAGATTGGTACTTTAAGTTTAGTTGGTGTGCAGGGTGTGTAAAGAAGTCCTGCTGTAACGAGCTATGCTCGGCAGACCCTATTCCGCTGCCCATGCTTATCCGATCCCCTCTGGGTGCCAGACGCAGTCCTTGAGAGCTCTCCTGAGTATCCTGCTTTTCTGCGTCTCGGCGGGGCGGTGTGGGCTTCTGTGTCCGAGTGTCAGATGAGGTGACCTGTTTGCTTCTCGGGCTCGTGTCCGCCGTGGGGCTGGATTCTGCAGTGATCTGTACCTCGGCGTTGTCGGGAAGGATGAACGGGCCTGGCGGGTTTTGACTCTCCGCTGTGCCCTGCGTCTGTTGTGGTGTCTCCTGTCTGTTTTCGCCCTTTTGCGCTGGGGTCGTTGTAGCTTTGCCTGCCGTGTTAATTATGCCCTGCTGAGCCTTCTTTCTGGTTGGAGGCAGTGTCTTCGCAGGGAAGCTGTTTGCCTGTGTTGAGATGAGCGGTTGCGTTCTGGCCTCCAGTTTGTGCCAGAAGTTGGCAAAGATTGCTTCCAGCCTATGTAGGACCTCTAGTTGTGGGTCTATAGGCTCGGGGAGACATGAGACATCCGCCATTTTGGGTGTCGCGTCGTGTAGCATGCATGTCGGCGCTGTTCCCCCTTGCACTCTCTCTGTACCAGGTTCGCCTCCCTGGTATGGACCGCGATCACCCCCGACGGTCCAGGGGGGGGAGTAACGGGGCTCCCGCTCGTGATGTGTCGGCATCCCGCCGGACTGGGAGATCGGCCACCTCTCCCGCTCGACGGGCCCCAGGCCTCATGTCACAAGTCGGTTGGCCAGCTGACCCCAGACGATTCGCTGCCCCCAGTGTTGTTTTTTTGTGCCCTTTTGTGGGTCGAGTAGGTCTGTTTGGGTTGCCAATTTTGAGTTATTTAGGACCAGCAATAGCTTTATTTGCCTTGTTGTCTGGGGAGCTCTGCAGTAGCACGTCTGTCTTCCATGCTGGTCAGGCCCCGCCCCCCGAATTTATCTTTTTATATCGTTCTTGGCAAATTTTGTTATAAACATTATGTGATGCCATAATTGTGGGAATATAGTAACAAGTGAGGGAAAACAACCAAAGTAGAAAACAAAATAGGTACCATATATATATACACAAAGGCAAAGGCATACAACCACCCTACAAAAGTGTACCTCACAAACATTTGTTTATTAATTTGTGTTATCTACCGGCCACTGTATTTCCAAGGACTGGATGATTCTCTTTTTGATCCACTCGCCAGTGGAGATGAGCCTGCTGTTTGCTTTCTTGATGTAAGCGCAACCTTGAATCAAATTGTTATAGTTTTATACAATATCACACTATTTGCACTTTTTTTAGTCCTTTGTGGATTCATCTTGCTGGAAAGATTTTCCACCACCTACAGATACCCCTGAGGTGAGATAAGTGCATACCATTTACATTCTTGTAAGTTTTCCACCTCCTGGAGCTATATCAATATCCATACGTATTTCACCATATGTAGCTTTTTATTTCTAGATTCCCACAACTATTTCATCCTGATTCTCAGGTTGTATCTCTTTTGTATATAACTTTGTGTTTCACCATCCTCCACCTAATACTTCCCCTCTGGGGTCGTAATTTTGTTTGTATTTATCCCTTTTGAAGTGTTTGTGAGGTACGCTTGTGGAATATATACTGTTATATCAATAAATGGTTATATTACTATTAATAATGATAATGATAATTTTAAAATGATTTTAAATGATTTCAATTGCAGCATAAATAACCAACACAAATAAAACTCTATATAAAAAATTTTATTGTTTCATTTTAAATTCATTGTTTTCTTAAATTGATTTTATTTTATACTGTTTTGTTTTAAGAGAAAAACAAGTCAAGGATATTGAAATATATGTTTATGAAATGTATGATTTTGTGATGAAATTGTGAATTAGGTTAGATTGCACACAGGCTGGTAATTTATTTTAGCACCGCTGCATATTAAAAAGAAGCAAAATCCCAATAAAGAGACAAATAATCATCTGGTAATGAATAATATGACACGGCTTTGATAACTCAGTATTGCTCCACTTGGTGGAGTCTATAAATATAGGGGAAATGGGCAAAATGTAACACTAGCTAAACAAATTATCACAAAGTATCCAGTGACTCTAACACTTTTTTCAACAATGCTGATGAGGAAACTGGCAAATGGAATATGTAGCTACCGTTAACAGGAGGATATTGAAATTATTATTTGTATCTCACAATGTTCTCCCCAACACTATCTTGTTAGGAAAATTACACACATCCTCACAGTCACATACGCATACACATTCATATACAAAGACATTTATATCAGCATATACATACATTCCAATTCACTAGATTGTAAGCTTGTTGAGAAAGGTCCTCACCAACCTATTCTTCTTGTAACATTTTGTATTTGTCTCACTTGTTTAATTACCCCTTGTTTATGTTGTAAAGCTCTGCAAAATAACGTTTGGTTATATTAATGCCAACATAGACTGGAAAACACATTGATGTACGTACATACATACTCAAACTTGCAAATGGACACATATACACATACAAAGACTCATATACAAATACATTCATATAAGCACACAGGGTTCATACACACAAATTATATACATCAACTCTCATTCATATATATACATAAACTTTGCACACACAGAGATTCACAACACATATACATGTACACACTAGACATGTGAAATTTGCTTCGTTCCGAATGTAAATTTGGACACATTTCGACAATTCGGACGTTCGTGCCGAACTGAACTGAAGTGCCGAAGTGCCGAATTTCAGAAGTGCTGAATCAAATTGCCGAAGTGCCAAATTTCGGAAGTGCCGAACTGAACCGAAGTGGCGAATTGCTGAGGTGCTAAATTTCGGAAGTACTGAACCAAACCGAATTGCAGAAATGCCGAATTGTCGAATTGCCGAAGTGCCGAATTTCGGAAGTGACAAAGTGCTTCGGATTTCTGAAAAGTGGCAAAACAAGAGAGGGAGGGAAAATTACGGGAATAATGACAGGAATCTAACACTAACCCTACCCCTAACCCTGCCCCTAACAACTAACCCTACCCTTACACCTACCCCTAACCCTAGTAGGGTAAGGAGTAGGGTTAGGGGTAGGTTTGATGTTAGGGGCATGGGGTAGGGTTAGGGGTAGGGTTGGGGGTAGGGTTGGAGGTAGGGTTATGTGAAGGGTTAGGGGTAGGGATTAGTGTTAGGGAATTGCCAAAGTCCCGAATTGCCGAAGTCCTGTATTGCCGAAGTCCCGAAGTGGCGAATTGGCGAATTGGCGAAGTCCTGAATTTCGGAAGTGTCGAACCTAACAGATGAGTCGCATTCCCGAATTGGCAAATTCCCGTATTGCCAAAGTCCCGAATTTTGGAAGTGTCAAACTGAACCGAAGTGCCGAAGTGCCGAAGTGCCGAATTTCAGAAGTGCCGAACTGAACAAAATTTTTTGCCAATGCACATTCCTAGTAAACACAGAAAGACAAAGACTCGCACATACACATATTCACATACACGATAACCTTCATATACACACACACTTAATTTTCATTTTTTGGGGAGTGAAGGGATATTTACTTGCAGAAGTAATTATAATGTATTGTGTATTCTGCATTGAGTATTTGTGTTTAATTAGTGGTTTGACATTAATCTTTGTTCCATGGCCCCAGAGATGTTGGGCCATGGAACAAAGCCTTTCCATAAAAACCACTGTATCTACTCCAATTCAATGAAACAAGAGATGTAATTACTCAATTCGCCAACTACCACATCAGGACATCAAGAACTGCTTGTAAATGAAATGAGAAAATATCCTTCCAAAAATAAGAAATGCTCCTTACTAAAGGCATTTGCATATATTTCTTTAGAAACCCGTCAGACCAGAAAGAAATTTAGCTAATTAACTAAATGCCTTCGAGATAACAACATAAAATTCTTGGGGTTTTCCACTGAAGATCCGGATAAGTTATAAGGAGTAAACATAAAATATTATGGAACCCCAACAACTGAAAGAAAAATTGATAGCATGGGGCGTAATGAAGATTGAGTAATGATGAAGGATATAAGGACCTAGAGACTTTTTTTTTAAACAATTTTTTAGGGTAAAAGTACCCTTTAGGAAAAATGTTAAGCTTTCTTGCACTCTAATAATGTAATGATATACATAGTCAGTTTAAAATAAGAACTAACTATGAATATATAGCACTACACTAAGGTTAATTTGTTAAAATGCACAGCTAATAATTAATGAAGAAACATTATGCCAAAATCTATATTCACACTTAGTATTACACCAATTTTTAAGCAATAGTTGATAGAATATATTAAAGGGAATGGAAAGTGAGAAGAAAAGAAAAGAAAGGGAGAAGGAAATTGCTAATAACACTTATGACTTATATGGTCAATAATTTTTTTGCACTTTAGGAATTAGATATGGATTGATAATAATATGAATGATCTATAATTCTATTAGATACAGACACGCAATTTTCAAATCACAAAGCACACATTGCTTACAAAAATTATATTTTCACAAGTAAGTTTGATAGGTCACGTTATAAAAATGTTTAAGTAAGTGTAAAATTCGAGATTGCATGTTATTAGAATAATTATATTAGCTTTGGCTTTCGATTTGCTGTATTCTATGCTATAATTAGTAAGCTGAGCTACTTTTTATTGTTTACCATATTATCACATATTATGTAATATATGTCATCAAAGTCATATCTGGATAAAGTTGTTCCCTTTCTTTTTTTTTTTGTAATAGTAATAGAAAATTACTCTTAGAAAAAAATGTTTTAAAAAAGGAGAAAAATGTGCAATGTTGAAAAAATTACCCATATTTGAGGAGTCACAATACCTTGAAATGGAAAAATCCCAAATTAAAATAAACTACTCTTTTTATCATAAGATAATACTAATCACAAAATAATTATTTGTATTTTATAAGTTTTTTGTTTATAAAAATTTAGGATACCTTAATTTATAAGTTTATTATTGGTAAAAATTTGGGATACCTTATTTTATTAATAATTTCCAACCACCAACTCGAATCTCTAATTTTAGCGAATGTTATTTACTAAATTGCCATGACATAAGACCTGAGTTATTGTATGAAAGATTAACAAGTCTAGTTTATAGACATTTAAATATAATAAATAATTTCTTATAGATATATTTGGATAGGACTAATAGCAATCTGCAATTTAGTTTCCATTTAATTCTCGAAGGGGGAAAAAAACTAAGAGGAAAAAGGGGTAATGCTACTCAAGCATGGTTTTATTTAACGATCTACAATTAAAGTTATCATAGATACCTCAGATTGAAGCAAAACAAATTCTAACTTTGTTTTAATTATTTATATATGCATTTATTCTGAGTTATTTATTTATTTATTTCCTCTCCTCCTCTCTTCTCCATCGGGTCCCTATTGGACTTACTTAATTGTTGCCCTAGTGGAATGGGACATTTATTTTCCTTGTGCCTCAGGAAGATCCTGTATAACTCTTTCTGGAGCAATGAGGGAGATGGTTTTGTGATTGAAATTTGTAATGTATTGTTTGTTTTATGTACACAGCAGGCCTTTTCCACTTTATTATTTGATTTGACATTTTTGAGAATGAGAGTGGATGATATTGCTTTTGAAGTCTCTTAAACGTTTATCAATTAATTCACATGGTTTAAATTATCCATAGAAGAGATCTTATTTGTAT